AAAAAAAAAAAAAAAAAAAAAAAGTAACCATGTTTAGTAATTTCCCTACTGAGAACATTCCAAGCTGCCGGCTGGTGAGGGTCCAGGAGAACTCACTACGTCTGATGAAACAGTGCAGCCCAGCAGCAAACAGACAGACAGGCAGGCGGGCGCACAGGCACACACCTCAGCTCCTCCCTCCCAGGGCCCTCAAGGCGCTGGCCCAGTGTCTCTGGCTTCCAACACCCATCTCTCAGCAGAGTGGGCACCGCCCTCACCTCTCAGGCTAAGCAGGACCTTGGGGTCAGAATGGCGAGCTGACCCAGTCGATGGCTTGATTTAATTTATCAACCACTGCAGGGAATTGCTCTGCAATGGAGAAAGTATTTTGATTTTTTAAGAAATTCCTTTTGAAAGATACAGCTTTTTTTCTGGTATTTATTTAAGATTTTTCATTGCATATAGGGACCATTTATTTCAGAATCCTTACTATGATCCATGATAAAAAATAGTACAAAATATCAAGTCAAAGCTGCAAGTAGGAATTAACCTCCTAAGCTTATAAATATATATCTAACAATTTTGTATTTCTAAAAATCATTTTATTGACTTAGCTCAGTGGCTCCATGCCTGCCTCACAAGCACAGGGTCCTAAGACAGATCCCTGGTACCAAAATATGAAAAATAAACTAACTGATGTGTTTCCTGAATAACTGACCCTACTTTATGTTTAAAATCAGTAAAGATACTTTTAGGATTCTAAATAGCATAGCAAAATAAACATGATTTTTATTTTAAAGGGAAAAATTTTTTAAATGTTCACTCCTGCCTTAAGTTTATTAAACATTTTTAACAGAATGAAATCGATCCTTTTTATCATAGTTTTACAGGTTTAGGACTCTGCGATGCTGTAGATGTTTAGGTAATTAAAGACTTTCTACCAGTAGCTTCCAAAAATCCCTGTCTTCTAAGTAATCAAGATATTCTTAAATTGTAACCAAGCAACCAGTACGAAAGCTAGAGGCTGCTTCTGCTACATGATGTAAAGATGTGACCCACGGGAGGTTTAGGTGTTAGCGTCCTGCCCAGTGCCAGTCCTTGACACTAAAGCTGCGCGTGTCCAGGGCTGGTCCTTCGGCCCCGGCAGCGAAGGAGGAGCCTGGTCTGCACAGCCTGGGCCTCCTGAGGACACTTGGCCTCCCGGACACCTGACACACACACCACTTCCCTCGTTCACAAAGTGACGGAATGTTTGCTAAATTTTCATTTATAACATCCTCCAGCAAAAGGCCGGTAGGTTACTCCTTTCGGTGCTCAGGGGAACAAAGGTTTAAGAAAGTAGGGCCAAGAAAAAAACGAGAGATTAGTGGGGGGAGAGAGAACAGCACACACTAGACACCACTTACAGTGCACTGCTATAGTTATCAGCATAGAGAATCACATCAGAAGCATACTGACATGCATTTAATCAAGTATTTATAACCTCTGAAACAACCAATTGTTTCTTTTCAGACATAATGATAATGAGCATCAAGCTAAGTCTGTGAAGAGAAGAAAAGTACAGTGACCTAGGCCAACAGTCTTGAACTCTTGCGTACTTCAAAAGGACCACACGCGTTGTTAAAGAAGCTTTAAGTAAAGGAGAATAGAGGGCTAAGACTGGAAGAGACCCTGCTCCCACAGAGGCCTCCTCAGCACACCAGAGCAGTGAGTGTTCATCACAACGAAGCTTTCAGTCGCTCTCAAGCTGACAGAAAACACAGGCCTGGCACTGCGGGTCTGGCACTGTGATGAGCAGCTCATCTTTCCAGAAAATTCCTCAGGTTAAGTCACCAGGCGTCAGGGGGCACCGTCCAGTCCCCACAGGTGGCTCTGAGGTCCCTGGCACACACCTGGGTACGGTGCTGGTGCAGCGCACGCCCCACGTTCTGAAACAGGAGTGTGAGTTCACTCTCATTCTTAAAAGTGGCAGCAGAACAGGAAATGGCAGGTTGAACACCCAGCAAATGCCCACGGCTGGGTTTGTAAACTATCTCAAGAGCAGGACGAGGAGGGCAGTGCCCAAGAACACCCCTGCAGCCACAGGCGGCACATGCTTGGCAGAGTCTCGCACACCAGGCCAGAGCCATCCACACTGGGGCCACACTCAGTGGTGGAGACATCTGCCACAGCCCACAAGCAGGCCCTCAGTGAAGCATGGTACTGTCTGAGGACATCGGGGTGATGGCGCTCTGGGGTGGACAGGAGCAGGCCTGCGCCCCGTGGCTGTACCATGCATGAGTCACAGAAGTGCACCACGCTAGCCTCCGGTGTTAGGACCACTCCCGGCAGACAGGGCTTAGCCCTGGGAGCCGCGTGTTCTTGCTCCAGACAGGTAATGTGCACACACCAGAAAGAAGACCCTGTCCCCCAGGCAGCTCCTGGCAGCGGGTGTCCACCTTCCGGGAACTGAGGGCAAAGCAGAAGCAAGAGGTACAGTCACTGAACTTCCCAGAGAGAGCGACGCTGAGAGCTTGGTGCAGCCTGAGGCCTCCATCCCACAGCCCCGGGGAGGTGGAGAGGACCACAGAAGGCCTGGGGTTGGTCCACACCAGGCCCAACTCTCAGTCTTCAGAGACCCAGGACCACGGGAGACCTCTCCACACTCGAGGGCTGGTGTCCCAGGGAACGGTGCACACTGCTGCCCAATGACAAGTGTCTGAGTCCATCTCGAAGCCATCCTCAACTTAGCATAAGGACCAGTTGCAATACAACGTCACGTGAAGCCAGGCAGAGCTATGGGACTGTGCACCTAGGATGTTTCCAAGAAAAAGATGGCCCACAGCAGTGAGGACTGGGAAATCTAGACAGGTGCTGCAGGGAAAGTGTCCATGGTAAATGCTGATACCTGCTGTACAGAATCTATAAAAACACACCACTGCCAACAGCCCAGAGCAAAGGGAACATCCGGTTCCCCGATTCCTCTAGTTAATCACGCTTACAACAGGCTAAACCATTAACAGGAAATGAGTTGAGACTACACGGTAGGCCTAGGTCTTACTCATGTTGTCTTCATCCTCTACATCCATGGCAAAATACTTTTGAGGGCTTCTTGACTGGCGGAGATGGTTCCTGTCTGAAAGAAGCAAGAAAGCAAGACTTAGTGATGTGAGGTCAGTGTGCTCTGGGAATGGTCACAGCATCATCGCAAATTAAGCAATCGTGAAACAAGAACATCAGGTCAGCTCCGCGGCAGGACATCTTCGGGCTTTCATCTCCTGCTGCCTGGGCCACCGAAGGACCCTGACAGTGGGGGTGGGCCTGGGGCCCATGCCAGGGCACAGGGCCACGCAGGGCACAGAGGGGCGGGTGGGGGCCTGGAGCACAGCAGCCTCAGCATGACAGCAGCCACAGAGCTCAGATCCCTGTGCCCAGACAGACCTGTGGTTGGTGCTACAAAAGCAGGCCACGCCTCTAGGCCCGATGCCCCGCATTCCAGCTGACCCCCATCTGTATCCCAAGAGTGCCCGCAGGTGAGGCCAGACCACGTGTCACTGATAAACCTAACCTGGTCTCCTAGACATGCTGGCAGAAAAGGAAATCTTCAAAGAACAATTCTCCCAATGGCCTAATTATTAACAAACCTAAGGGTTTCCTCTTCCTCAACATTTCCGATACACTTTGCAAGACTCTACTAACAAACAGTCCAGGAGAGAGAAGCCCGGTGACCTGCAAGTGAGGAAAAGATTCACAAATTTACAAAGCACACTTTGCTCTGTATAGAAATAAATTTAGATTATAGATGCTGAAAAGGTAAATTCGTTGCTTTCAGGGAAATGGTGATTAAATGTGCTAAGACATGCACAGATCCCATTTATTTCATACATCATACATGTAAAATGTATGACTTTTCAGGACAATCATTTGTTAGTAATGTTTAATCTACTGTACTTTTAGCAAATGTACTGCTAATAGTGAACTGAGTTTCTGTGTGGAATCCTTTATTGGGGAAAGTCTTCTGGGTAGTTTTAAAAGCAGTGTTATTTCATATTTATTGATTACTCCATGTTTTCTGAGAGTCTATTATGTGCCAAGCTGGACACCACAAGAACCTGGAGCCAGTTTGATGCTGCATCTGAAGAATCCAAGGGTGCCGCTGCCGGGCAGCGCTCACACAGGCCCAGTTCAGAGCTGCTGCATTTCCAGCCTGCGCAGTGCCACACCACAGCACAGGGTCCTGGGAGACCCCGCGCCCCCGCTGGCACTGGGAGCCCCAGAGGAGGCAGCGGGAGCAGGAGCTGGGCACACCCCACACGGCCAGGCCACGTCCCCTTCCCGGCAGCGAAAGTGCCATAGAGTCAGCTAAAAGGAGCACGGGCTCCACCTGGGGCTCTGGTGTGATCCAAAGGGGTGCCAAGAAAACACCACTCATCACACCGAGAACCAGGGTGAACTCACAGGGAGAAGAGAGAAAGTCAGCAGATGCCAACAGAGAGGGCACAATGCCCAGTGACCCGGGGAGCAAAGACTAACAGCAGCAGCGCTCTTGGCATAGCCACCACCAGTGCACAGCGTGGCACTGGCAACAGGTGACAAGCACGGTGGCCAGAAACAATCCATGCGGCTGTGTCTGCTACCTGGACAAGGTGGGGACAGCCCAGTAATAACAGCATCAGGGCCAAAGGGGTGGCCCCTCACGGACCACCACACATCCAGTCTCTGCGAAATGGGTCACAGGCTTAAAGGCAAAATACAGAACTACAGAGCCTGTAGGAAACCCCTGGAAGAAAACCTTCAGGATCGAAAGCCAGACAGAGTTCTTATACTCGACAGAAAAGCATAATCCACAAAAGAAAAACTGAAAATTGTATTTCATTTAAAAAAAAAATCCGCTCTACAAAGGATTCTGTTAAAAAGATGCAAACCGAATCTCACCTGAGTCCCTCTCCTGGCAACAGCTGGTGAGGGACTCCGGTTTAAGTGCCCACAGCAGCCCCGAAGCGAGTGCTGGTCAGACACCATTGTGGAGATGCTGGCTGTTCCAACCCAGGCCAGGGCTCCCCAGAGTTAGGTTCCCATGGTGACTGGGTGAGACAGTGGTCAACACAGGAGATGGTGTGGTCAGGGACCCTGAGGGTTTGGGCTGAAGGACACGGGCTGCACCCCTCAGCCGGAGGCCAGGCCAGCCTCACTCGGTGCCTTGTGCTGCTCTTCCTGCCCATGGTGCGGCCCTGCAGCATGGACCTGTGTCTGAGCCTCCTTTACCCACCAGCATGAGCAACAAGCTGTGGATCCCAGAAAAGTCCACAAATTTAAAATCAGAGAAGTGTTTTTTCTTTGTGCCTGTGTTGTTTTCTGGTTTTGTTTTCTTTCCACTCCTCTTCTTTACCAGTTTATTGGGGTTTAGAGAATTTTCCTTTGTCCTTGCTTATCTCTTTTTGTTTTCTTTTTTTCTCTATTTTCTTCTTCCTTTTAATTTTTTGTTATTTTATACCCCATGTAACTTCTTTTATTCTCTTTTTCTTTTATCTTCTATTCTCTGCATTGTTTTGTAACCTTTACCTAGTGTCTAAAGATCCTTTTACTCCCCAAGATTTTTTGTACAACTTCTCTCTCCTCCTACTATCATACAGTTTGTTTTCAATTCTTTATCTTGCTTTTCTCATTTCTAACCCCCTCTATCTTTACTAGTATAAGCATAAAGCTTTATTAACCTTTAGATGGTTAATCTATACAATTACTGATGACTCCTTTCTGCCCTAAACAGAGAAAGCCGTACATTTGGTACACACTAGCTGTAAGTCGACCCCAAAACCGTCTTAATGTTCAGACTATAACTGTGGATTTCTTCTCTAGAGGTAAGGGCAGCACATGATTGGTTCTTAAGACATGTTAATATCTAATTTATCTCAAACGACACTACTATAGCTGATCCGCTTAGTACTACCAGGGTAGCACAGTGGTTGCTATTAATGGGCTTTCTCTGTAAGCCAATGCTCAGATTACCTTACGACATTAACAATGCTAGAGTCCCAAGTTAACAGAGGTGGCTGGATTTGAGGTCTAAGGCAAAGCACTATAATTAGCCACGCCCCAAGTTCATCACTAAGAAGTGAGTGACTAAAGGGGGCTCTGTACTAGCAACAAAGTCTTTACACTGTGAGTGCCCACAAACCTCAGCATAGAGCAAAACAACAGAAAAATGAGAAGACAGGCAACAAAAGCCTCCTAAAACTCCCAATTTTCCTGAAGCTAATCCGAGAGGTGAAAGGGGACAAGAGGATAAACTACACTCCCAAATTACTCAAAAGGATAACAGAGGAGGTCAGAAAACAGATCACGGAGGTACTCAGCAGGGATCACAGACGATATAACAGAACAGATAATGGAAATAACAACCAAAATGACCTAGGTGCTTTCAGAAGACACCAATAAAAAGCTAGATGATCTAAGCAAAACTATACAAAACACAAATAACCAGTTAGCAAAGAATTAGAGCCCATGAGGCAGTTTCAATAAAAAAGGGATCAAACAGTTGCTGGATGATGCAAAGAAGATTAATCTAACAGTAACTGGATTAAGTGAAAAATCAGAAGACAACACAAATGGCATACAAAAACCCGTTCACAGGAATAAGAGTAGAAAACATCCAAAACATATGGAAAGAAATAAGCATAAAGATAAATGAGGAATCCAGAACCCCAAATAGCCATGAACAAAGAGAATCGCTCTGTGCACATGATACTCAAAGTACCTGAAGTCCATCACAGGGACAAAATCTTAAAAGCTGTTAGAGAAAGGCAATGAATCACATATAAAGGTAAACCCATCAGAATTACAGCAGACTTCTCTATACAAACCTTAAAGGCCAGAGGACTTGAAGTAAAGTGTTTCAAGACCCAAAAGAACAAATTCTAAGACTTCTAAGAGCTAGAGATATAGCTCAGTGGCATCGCACCTGTCTGGCAAGTGCAAGATCCTGAGTTTGATCCCAAGTACCAAAAACAAAATAAAACACACACACACACATACACACACACACACACACACACACACACACACAATTAGGTAAAAATAAAAAGCAAACAAGAAATAAAAGGTTAAAAAAAAAGAACTACTTCCAATCCCAATTTACGTATTGTGCAAAGCTTTCCCTCAAAATTGATGGAGAAATACACTATTTCCATGACAAGGAACACCTCAAGAAATTCATGACAACCAAACCAGCATTACAAAAAATTCTCAAGGATATCCTAAAAACAGACCAATAAAGCCAATAATGCCAATAAGTTAGAAAGAATCACTACACTAAGTAGATGAGCAGCTAAGTAAAAGGGGAAAAAATAAGAAAATCAGCAACAGAGAAGTAATGCAATGACAAAAATAAGTCAGTATCGCTCAGTAATAACTCTCAATGTGAACAGTCTCAATTCCCCAATCAAAAGACAAAGACTGGCAAAATGGAGCATGAAACAAAATATAACAATATACAGTATACAAGAAGCATATTTAATTAAAAAAGAAATTCATAGAGGCCAGGGATTTAGCTCAGTGGTTCTGCTGCCTGCCTTGCAACTGCAAGGACCTGAGTTTGATCCCCTGTACCAAAAAAAAAAAAAAAAAAATAAAA